TTATATCTTTGAAGTAATTCAAGATTTTTCAGGATAATTTCTTCCCCCCCCCCCAAACTTTGAGAACATTAAATTGATGTCTTATTGTTTGGCTGAAGATAACTTTAATTCAAACCAAGTGGCAGTATGCACCCCTCAAAAGTAAAGATGCACATAAAATTTCATCTGTAACTTTACTGCTCACTTCTATCTGGTAACTGTTTTGATCATGGAAGTGTTCTTATGCTGAGGATCGGGCAAATGCCATGACACTGTAAATATTGACAACAGGTAGCTATTTTGGAAATTTTAGAATTGAAACATTAGTGCTGTCTCCCAATTAAAGTATGCAGGTTTTAGTCAAATATGTGAGGATTAAACTGGGAAATGAATACCAAGGTATCACATCCACAAATCCACACTCCCACACAAATACCAAACCCTACAGACTGAACTATCAAACACCGATGCTGACTAAATTTAAATGCTACATTGCATACAGTCACAGGAGGGCAGTCATTTTGTCTATAAAGTGGATTAATACCAACCATAATTCTTCACATTGTGCCCACTCAATGAAGAGGAGATTCAATTCAGTGTTTTTTAGTTCCAAAAGCCTAATATGAAAAATTGGTTGGTCTGCCTCTTCCAACTGCACAAAAATCAGCTAATGCCAAATCCATCTTAGCCCAGGACATTATTATAAACAGATCATTTATTTGATTTTCCGTAACAGAGACATTCAATCAACTGCCTGAGCTGGAAACTAGTAGAGGGGAAAGACTAGATACAGATAAAAGAAGCAACTTGAACAAATCTGGCCATTTAGGTGTAGGAGACTTCTTTTCCTACTCTCATCCTAAGTCTTGCACTGTCTTCACATGGAAGGAAGGTGGAGGTCATTCACTCCTGGTGGAAATATCCAGTGGGGAATGTATCTCCAGACAATGAGCCAGGAATACTAACAGACGGCCAGAAATCACAGTCTAAATAAATAAATAAATAAATAAATAAATAAATATCACAGAAGTAACAGCATTGCATTTCAAATTACAAAACAGCCTAAAATTAGTTGCCATTACTGTAACATAATGAACTGTCTTTCTCTAAAGAATTTGTTCTCTAAGTCCCTCAGCCCTATCTTTTGCCTAGTTAGACTTGTATTTTATATATTAGTCACATTGTGTTCAGGTTGTACTACAATGAAGCAAGAGGTAGATTAGACATTCAACGGCAGTATTCTTTTATTCTGTCTTCTCCCAAAGACCACTTTGGGAGATCCAACTAAGTTATCACATTTGGCTTATTCTGCCCACAGAATCTTTCTAACTGTGAGAGCAAGAAAAACTGTAGAGAACTGTTCCGCTCGTAAAGAAAGTTTATATTCTGCTGCAATCACAGAACTGCAGGATCTAAAATAATCTGCAAAACCCTTCTCCCTCAAAGCTTTATTTGAAACTGCATGGATAAAAAGGGTGTCAGAAAGATAAACAGCTGTATCAACTCAAGAGTATAGATAATGCAAACAAAAAAAATTACTTTTTTCTGTGAGGACGAAGGATTTTCTAGAATATATTTATAGGAATATGGCATAATCTACCAGGTTTATATACTCTGAGCCCAGATTTTATCTGTGGACAAGACTGCAACACCTAACAAATCCAAACAGGAATAAAAGATTCCTATCAAATCTCTTAGAAGCATGATAGCTTGAAGATGAATCATCTGATTTTTACTTTCAAACAAGGAAGCCTTCTTGGCTCTTAAGTACTACTCCAGTTTATATTAAATGTTTCTTTCCAGCATAACTCTTTCCTCCTGTTTATTATTTATGTTTTTCTCAATGCTCCCTCTGTTGCATCATTTGTTTTCTGTATGCAACTAGCCCCTGTTAAATTCCTGCTGGGCACAGGATGACATTTCTTCATTTTTCATGTAGTTTCCATAATCTCTCAGATTCTCAAGCACATCCAAGAAGGCAATTTTTTTCTATATAAATTATTTGATTAAGGCAGGAGATTTACAATCTCAGAAATTTTCCCTCTGTTTACTGCAATCCCACCACCACCTTCCCCAGCTGCAATAGGTTTTGATGTTTTAACTCAATGAAATTTAGGGTTCCTTTTTCTGGAGTAGTTCCATTTTAGTTTTCTCATCCAGGAAGACATCTGTGAAACACAGTCCTTGAAGACTCTTTTCCAACAGCTATCAACCAGGGAAGAACAGGCTCCCAGGTTGTGACGTGACATGACTATGAGTACAAACTTATATCTACTGACCAAAACCAGTACCTAGAGCCACGAAGTGTCCCAGAAAAGCAGAATTTCAAAAGACCAGCAAATCTAGTCTCTAGTTTATAAATTTTTGATTATTAGTCAGGTGTGACCAAGACCAACAGATTCCGTAGCATATCAAAGTGTCCCAAAAAGCAATACTGGACTGGAGAAATTAAACAGACAATAAAACTATCTGCACCCAGAATTTTAAGATGTTCACCACTGAATACCAAAGTGGTGAATAACCTTTGGTATTCAGTATTTGAATAACCACTTATGGTTATGCCTCTTCACATAATGTGTTGTGAGAAATGAAAATACAGATCGTTATTAAAATGTGTGCATTCATATAAAATGTATCCTTCATGATTTAAAATTATTGTAGTTTTTTCCCAGAAACCAAGATCTATGCAACTCGGAACTCAAATGATAGTTTTGTTTAAAAAAAACACAAACACTTTATTTGCTTTTCCTACTAGTTTATTGTTAAGGAATTTGTAAGAGATCTTGTAAGAAAGAAAACTCTATACTGCTAATGTATTTCCTATGCCTATTAATTGGACTTATAGCTACCTCATGGGAACTGCGGAGAGTTTACCACAGTACACCTTCTCCTACAGGTGCATGAAATCAGAGATACCAAAGCCTTTTAAGAAAGTCAGGCTACCAGCTAACAGACTTGCAAAAGCATAAAGAACAAGACCCAGTATGTCACTGAAGCCTGGAAGATTTCTTTCAACTGCTCATAAAGCTACTAATGCAAGGGAATCACCGATCTGACAAAAGCCTCTAGACTCTACAGCAAAACAAACAAACAGAGAGACAAAAGTAGTTAGTGTACATTAGGGCTGGAAAACACATAGGGCTAGCATTGTAGTAATAAGATGCTACCACCATATAATTGCTTTTCTGACCATATTCAGACATAGTTAAATCACAAAAAATCAGAGCCAGAAAGACCTAGTAGGTCTTCCAGTCCATTCTCCTGCCAGTGCAGATGACTGTAAGATAGCTCTTCTGTATCTGTATCGGATAAAAGATCTGCTGTTAGAGACAGTTTGTGGGGTCTGGTTTCCATCCAGCCGCAGACTTTAAACAAAATATAACTGGAAATCCATTTTGGTCAAAACCCCGTAAGTCTCACAACAGATACACAGACCTTAGACTTTCTTATAATGCTTCAAGTAGTCCTGCCAGACACACACACATTTGAGCACAGATTCGAGACAGAAATATCTGAAAGCAAGGCAGAGGCTATAAATGCTATTACTAAAATTTTTCCAAATAAAATGAGTGAAATGTTAGTAAAACCTGTCCATCACTGACAATGCAGTTTAACAGACCTACGCTGGTAAAACAATGTATGCCAACAAAAGTAAAACATGTTTTACTGATGCTCACTCTCCACTGATTCTCTATCTTCTCATTTTCCAAGTTCTCTGGCAAAAATTGATTTAATCATGTTCACTTCTAAGGATTTATAAACATGCATACCAAATGGTCTAGCTAGGATGACCATGATATGATCTGCAACACACAAATCAAGTTAAAAGCTGCATTTGGAAGAAGGGTGGGTTTAACTTTTCAATGTACCATATAGTTTTTAAAGAAATGTAGCATATTAAAAGCATAAAGAAGCTAAATTAAATCACTTACTGTTCCTACATTATAAAATAGAGTTAATATTAAAACAGCAATACTACAAGGATTTGTCTTTCTATTTCAAGAAAGTTTTAATATATGAAGATGACATACGATAAGAAAATATTGTTACCAAGGATTTTGGCAGTAACGGAACTTGTATTAGAAGTCAGTTTTGACAATTCTTTGAATCTAAAAGACCTATAAGTACTAAAATGTCATCTGTCTATCCGTGTGAGATTTAGCTTTGGCTGTATTTCCAAAGTGAAAAAAAAACATTTTTTTCATATATTTTCCCTATGACAATATATTTTTGAAGCTGTCTAAGAGGCCATATTCTGTTGAGAATTAGAACAAGATGTATATGTGCTACAGAAATATTTGCAGAAAAAAGCTAAGTTTGAATAGTCACAACAGTCAATGGGTCAAACTGTGGACAAAAGCACAAGGTGTGGAATTTATTGTCAAGAGTTGGCACTTAGATTTCAAATAATTTCTTCAATTTAGAGATTCATTGTTCTGTTCAAGCCAAATTAAACAAACCATTTGGAAGCTAACCTGATTATCTCCACATAAATTTATGTATTGTTAAGTGATGTCATTAGCACCCCCTTTTTTCTTTTTTTTAATTATGGACTATTCCAGACACAGGTCTGGAAAATGGAGCTGTCTGGCTTATAAGGCTACTTTTAAAAAATGCTTTAAAAATAAAGAGAGAGAGAGAGAGAAGGTTAGAAAAGAAAGCAAGACAAGGAATGCACTAATTGCTCATCCGTGACCTCTTCCAAACCACTGCAAAACTGATAAAAGTTGCCTGAGCTGTTTTTTATGCAGTTCAGCTTCAGCCTTTTTCAATAGCCACAGGGGTATCAATGCCCCCTTTAAAGCTGGTGCTACACATGGAATAATAAGAGATCTGCAATTTTTTTTTAGGATGAAAACAAATGATCTTTAATTTATGTTAAAAAAAAATCCTGTGAAAAGATTACTCACTAACTGTAGTTGCTGATCAGTCCAACTATGGTGAATTCTGCCAACTGTGCTCAGCTGATAAAGACATTAAAATAACAAGAAACTATTACATGTAATTTTCTGAATACTCACACATTCTTGGATTTGAATGCTTCAGCAAAGTGCTGCACACTCTGAAGAGAAGCAAGGTCTAAGGTCATTGCTTCTACCTTGGCTTTATGCTGGAACAAGAGAAAAAATAAAAAAAGGATAAGTAACAGCAAGTTTAGTTCACAGTATCATGTTACAGTAAATGTGTTATGAAACCTGTCTGATTCCCTTGTTTAACATTATAACCCCAAAGTGAATACAAATCATCAAAAAGAACAGACGAGCACAACATTTAGTGCCAAAAGTAGCATTGCAATGTTGCAGTTTGCTAAAAACATACACTGTGTAACACACAGCTTTATATAATACAATGAATTGACTCAAGGTAGTGTTAAGGTTAATATGGTATCTTTTTTTTTTCTGTTTAGCTGGTGAAACTTGCATAACTCATGAAGTAATAAGTAGAGTAAGCATTACTCTTAATGCATGCTATTTTTTACATACTATACAAATAGAAAAATACCCAGTAAATACCCTATAAAAAACAGCTAAATTCAAACTTGCACATATTAATCCAAAACAATCCAGTATTCATAGCAGGTGATATAAAAAACAGCATAAAATGAGCATAGAAAATAACTGATCAGACTACACACTTTTGCATACAAGTCTACCAGTGCATAGTATCTGCTAAAGAAATTGCATAGGTACTTAAAACCAACTTTTCACCTAGAAGAGGACATGTAATCCCACAAAATGACAGGTTAACCGGAAGGTGCTAACCTTAGACATGGCCAAAATGATTCTTCTCAGTATTTTCAGCTTTAAGATCCCTGTTCTCAAATCTTTTGAAATGCTTACACACCAAATCTCAAAACAAAATGAACCAAAAGTCTGTTTTCATTGCAACAGCTGAAGTGAAATTCATCACATCATCAAGTGGACAGTGGCTCCTTCGAGCCACAGTTCTGAACTAGCTTTCACTTGACTGCAGCTGTGGGTCCGCTCCACAACATCCAACAGCTGCCTTTAGTTCTTCCACAAACGCTCTACTTTTAAGACATCTGTGATCCTCTGCAAAACACCAACCGTCATGACATATAAGTTACGTAGATCCCCAAAGGAATTATGAACATGCCCATTTGTGCTCACCCTCACTTTTAGACTCACCGCTGCCCAACACCACATAAACTCTCTAGTACATAAAAGAAAGCTGGCAAAAGCCCTGTACTCTCCCCAAACATAAATATGTCAATTTTCAGTCCACTCAGCTTAGCTTATTCAGGAAAAAAGACACTAGAGGGACACTTCCTGTAATTCCAACGTGCTACCTACACCTACGTATAATGGTCATGATTCAGACTGGACATCAGCACTGCTAAAAGAAAAAGAAAAAGATGGAGCAGATACAGTGGTACTATGCAATCAAAGGCAGCACTTGAGTGGAGAGGCAATAGGAGCTGTGTTAGCACCATGGTGCAACAGGGGATCTACTGTGATTGCAAGGTTATACACTGAGCATGTCTGGAGAAACAAAAAGGAAGCAGCACGCAAGTCAGTGCAGAAGGAAGCCAAGAAGAGTGCTCCCATTGTCTCCCAAGTTAAGCAATTCATCCGATCTCCATGTTTCATTACATCTCGTACTTTCCTCCCCACATGTGTTTTCTATTTTGCTAGCACCCATGCTGCCCACTACAATTACCTTACAGCTTGGGTTTAAACAGAATGTCACTCAAATTCCTTTTGTCCCACTCTAGCCAGACTTATCAGGACAGCAAAATAAATACAACCAAGACTTCGACAGGTTCAGTTCCCATCAGGAAGTATCAGCTGATGGAGTCTGAAAATGCTAAACCCAGGTTTGTTACAAAGAGCTTTGTTACCCTCACAAGATGCACATCATTCTGGAATTCATTTTGCCCCACTGGCTAAGTATTTTCTTCTGTTTGATGGTCAGAGACTTGAGAAAGACTATGCTGCCTTGCATTATGCAATAGAGCTCCATAACAACTTCTCTTCAACTTTGCAGTTCAAAGTTGTTTACTTAATAGAGAACTAGTGTGCATAGTTGGGTTTATTTTGCTTCTGCTTTCCTCCGTTGAAACATTCTCTTGTCTCTCCCAAGGGTAAAAGGACAAGAATGATACAAGTACAGGGACGTAAGAGGGGTCAAAAAAAAAAAAAAATCAAGTAGTTCAACAGACTATACCACAACCTGTCAAGCTACTGTCCTCTTGGGGACACAGATTCAAGTCCACATAATATTACTCAGGTCATGCTTTCCCTCTTGGTGTCATGTGTTAGGCTTCAGCAACTGATTCCAAGAACCGAAGTGTCTGTGTATTTTAAGTCCAAAAAAAAAAAAAGTATGACTGTCAAAATACTTTCAGAAATAGAAATTAAGCAGAGTAAGATTGGCCTGGATTTGTGGATTAATATATTGAAATTGCAAAAATCTGGCATTCATAAAATCATAAATAAATTCTTGAAAGTGAGAATCAGTCAACTGATAGACAGCAAATACAAACTATAATTATGTTTTTTTCTGTACCGGTTCCATCAATGACCACCTTTCTATTCATACTCCATTTTCTTCAGCCAGTAAGATAATTTATTTCAAACAATTTCTCTACTTCATCTTTTTTTTTTTTATTTTAGCTTTAGTACACATACAGAAAAAGACAAAGAAAACATTTGTTAAAAAATTCAAGAAACTTTATATAAAATGATAGATTTTAGATAAAAATCTGAAAGTTTCCTGAAAAAAGAAGAACGGAGAAGGAAAAAAAGGACGAGTTTAGTAATTTTTTCCATTGAATAGGTCAAAGGCAAATGGCAAACCAATTTTTTTTTTTTCAACTTTCTCCCTACTTTTGCTTTTCCAAAATCTGATAGTAACAGTCTGTATTTCCTTCATATATACACAAGGTACATACTGAGCACAGAGACACCCATTTGCTCTGTTTTCCTCATAGAAGAAACGGGAGCATGTGACATCCAAAGCACTCAGATCAGAACTTGCCACCTCAGCTTCTGACGGCATGAGAAAAGCCAAACATCAGTATTTTCTCCAAACAGTAACTGGGGAAGAAATCAAATTACATACTATGAGCTTAGGCAAGTTCCCCAACACTTTTCTGTTTTGGATTCTCCCTTCTCAACTGAGATTTAAGCACCTCTCACTCCACAGAGGTATTTTGTAGACCATCAATTCCTACAGCAGCTTGAGAACATGAGACGCTAAGCCTTCAGTATCAACCCATTTTCATTCCACATTTTCCCACTCTTACTTCTATGCTACAATTTCTTTAAAAAAAGCTATGAATAAGGCAACAGACTTGCAAGGTATGTTCTTAATAATGTAAGAATACATCCAATCAATGACAACTAGAAGGTTTTGTTTGTTTTCTTACAGTAGCTCAGTATTACC